AGGATGGTCAGTGCTCCTGCGGCTGCGGGTGGCCCCACGCGGTCAGGGGCTCCAGATGGCCAGCTGGTACGGACCAGACGCTCGTGGAAGGCACATTTGCCGGTGCCATTGCCAGCCAAACATGCTCATTCTGCCATGGGGTTACGGTGCTTCCTGAAACGTAGCGGTTTGGAAGCTGCCGCGACGCAGGCGAGTGGGTACATGGATTTAGGAAGTAGCGTGGTTTCTGTGCTTGACATCACATTGAAGGTGCTGTCGTAAATGAAATGTACAAGGCTGAAATGACAGTGTGGTGTATTCTTGATACCAAGCTATTTCAGAACTGACAGAAAGCTTTACTTTGCTAACATGAGGGGCTGCTGCTACTGATCTTTTACAGCTGCTTGCTCTTCGACGCAAGTTGGCCATGCCTTCTGCAAAGCTTTTCCTGCAGTGCTGCACCTCAGGCTGCATGAAAACACATCTCTGTCCAAATTCTACAGATGCCTCTGTTGCTTTGAAAGCTGCTTACTTTTCGTTCTTTATAGTTAGACACACATATTGACTTTTAAATGTGCGTTGGTATCTGTATCCATCATTTCCCATAGAAAATAGGGTCACCGTCTTGCTGTATTTTACAGTCTGGATTTTTGGAAACATCTGGCAAACAAAGAAAAGCTGCCTGAGCCTTTCAGAAGGAACGGGCTGTCTCTAAAGTCCTTTCTATTCTTGCTTTCTATTAGTAGCAATATCTGACTGTCTCCATGCTCTTTCCCATCCTGTGGAAGGATAGGACTAGGACAGCCAATTCTGAGTATGTGACCCTGCTCTCTGCCATCTTTAGGATGACTAGTACTGGTTTAAAATTTGGTGAGTATTTTTCCTGTCACTAAATGCAAGGGACAAATTCATACTGCAGTTGTGATAGCAGATTCATTCAAGGAAAAGCTTTCGAGTCAATGGAGCTGTCACACGCTACGGATGGGTAGTGGGACAGGCTGGTTCAGGGTGATGCTGTTTTCTCAATGAATTAGCCTGGGTCTGCAGCTGGGGAGGGTAAGTCTCTGGGAGGCAACAGAGAAGCTACTGTTTGGTGTCGCAGCAGCACAGTCCTGACAGCCTTGGTAGGTTCACATTCATCACTGCAGCTCGTGCGTACTGGGAGTTCAGCTCCCATAACAAACAGCGGGCAGCGGGAGTGGAGGTTTCGACAGGGGTGTTACCCTGTTCCACACGGGTAACCGCGGAAGGGAGTACACGGGCAACCCTGTGCTGCTTGCAACAGAAGTACCTGATATCCAGTGTACAGAGCACCTGCACACTCTAGGAGAACACGTGTGTTGGAAAGCAAGTCTCAGCACCAAGTATGGATGCGCAGATAGCCTCCCCTATGAGGCTGGAATTACCTTTCTGGAAAATGTAGACCAATAGGATTGGGAAAGGTAAGGTTAGGAAATGGTTAACTACAGTTACATGGTAAAACTTCAGTGATTTTTCTCTAGCTGTAAGAGATCTTGTCCAATCATCATTCTGGAGAATATGCATTTTAAAAATCCTTTAAAATAACAAATAAATCTGCTAGGAGAGGAAAAAAATTTTTATACATTAAGCACACACACGCACGTATATGTACTGTATAATGGCAAGTTAAGAGAAGATTGTAATGGTTAAGACTAGATCAGGGAAAAGCACTGTCAAAATTAACTTATTGCTGGATCTGTTACAAAGATTTACAACAAAACCTGGAAAAATATGAAATAACGAAAGGGGTTTTACACAGGACTCCCTGAAGATAACCTTACAACAAAACCTGGAAAAAATATGAAATAACGAAAAGGGTTTTACACAGGACTCCCTGAAGATAACAAGCGGTACCACCAGAGGGCCCTGCACCGAACGTGTTGGCCCTGCATAAACCGGAGTGATGAGTAAGCGATCCATTTTACTATAATCATCATACAACTGCCATCTTTTCTCTGGGAATAGGCATTAGCAGTCATCGTGTGGAAGCCAGTTTCACATAGAATGAATTAGTGATTTAAGGAAAAAGTAAGGTGGCACAAATGGGACATATTAGCGGCCCAGTAATTGTATTGATGACATTTGGAGGGTGCCAAGCTGGTCAGATGAATATGTTACTATTGGTCCTCATGGCTTTGGGGATCCTGTGAGGAGCTGGGGAGCAGGGTGTGAAGCTGTGGCTGGCCCATGGTGGGGCTTGTTCTACCCCAAACCTGACTTGTAAGAATTTATGAGAAAAAGGACTTCCTTTCTTCTGGAATTGCTGGGAGGCCAGGCCAGCTTTCCGGCAGGTAAGCGACACTGTGCCCTTTTGGAGTCAGATCTCAGGGTTCTGGAGCACGTTCTGCCCAGATCCTACCATCGCTTTGCTCCTCCTCCCCACCACCACTGTCTGTTGCCCACAGACATGATCTGGGAACCAAACGAACTCATGGAAGCAGTGCCACGAAAGAGGTGACATTAGAATAAAGAATCCACATTACCTCTGCTGAAAATACTAATTAGGGAAAACAGTAAATGAATTACTGTGACGTTTGGTCTGACTGTGACTGAGGCAGCTTCTGCCCCTTGCTGGGGCTCACCGTCTCTGGTCTCCATAACACATTGTGTGTACAGGTTGGTCTCCTGGTGTACCTTTAAGCACCTCAGAGGCAAAACTCTGTCCTTTGAAGCTGCGCTTTCATCCTGGACGTTGGAGAGTGGTCATGGGCAGGGAGGGGGGTGAGGGCAGGAGGGTGGCTGCGGGAGAAGGCCTTTCCTGCATTTGCACACGGGGTGACTGAGGCCATTTGCTCAACCCCTGACATACATTCTGGGTTCTTCTGAGAGCTGTTTGCAGCAAAGCTGCCTGTGGTGCTCTGCGCTGGGGCATGGCCAGGGCAGAGGGGCTCGCTGGCACCGGAGATAATGAGGCCCGTTGTTGGAGACATCCTGGAGACTCGCAGCTGCATCAGCTGGTGATAAATGGCTCCCAAGGTGAGCAAAGAAGGACTTTCACTCGTGCCAGCTCGCAGGACTACAGTGAGCAGGCACAGCCAAATTTCTATCTAAAAGGTAGCGCGGGGCACAATTGCTTTGAAAAATCAGAGGGGGGAATCAGGGACAAGAGCTGACACTGTC